CCCCAAAACCCCAAAACCCCAAAACCCCAAAACCCCGAAAGTCTGGTGAATGATTGATGAATAATATTGTTAACTTTTTTGGTAAAAAGAGACACTCTTAGTTATTAATGCCGTGTATAATTATTTGAAAATGAGTTTTTAGGTCAAAAATTATTCTTGGGGCTTGATGGAGCCATTAGCAAGGAAGTAAGTGATCATCTGCATCATTTCTGAGGCTGTGTAACTGAAATTTAAGAATGCCTTCTTATCTTGCATAGCGGCTGAGTAGAGGTCGTAAGTTCTTGCAGCTTCTTCTTCATCAATAAACGTACCTATGTACTTCTTAGCATGATTCACATTGATCAAGGCTTGCCAATGAGTGTTGTTCTTGGAAACTCCAATGTACTTAGATCTTCTACCAAGGTACTTATCAGAGGTATACCTAGTCTTTTTGACTTTGGAAAAGAATTGAAGAATTTTTCCTTCCGTGATAAGCCTCTGAAGGTTTATTAGCTTTTCTCTAATATCAAGTCGAGTTGAACGGCTTCTCCTCTTGTTAACAGCTTTAGTTGTCTTTGTCTCTTCTTGATGTTTCCTACTTTCCACTTTGTTCATGAATATTTGGTTATTTGATTGAGTTACAGGAACTCTGATTACCAAATTCTCCGAATCTGAGCAAACCTCACTTTTTTTGAAGAATTTCGCATCTAAAGTAATTGGTTAATTTTGAGCTTGGCTAATTAAGCAATAAAAACTAAGAATTAATAAATTATTGTAGTAAGTCTCCTACTTGATGGCTCCGTTTGATCTTGAAGTTGTAAGTCTATGAATTTTCTCTTTATTATTTCATATGCAGTAATCATGGCCTTCAAAGCTTTTCCCAGAGGGTTGGCATAAGCAATAAGTCATCTTTAAGTATTCTAATATCTGCTGATAACCCCATGGTGAAGAGAAGGCTTGATTTGTTTGATTGTCTTTGGCATACATCTCCATTTTTAATATTATTAATTTATTGTTAATCTTTAAGTTATGAAAGCCAAGATAGCAACCTTCCCCAAATCCAGAGTTATTGGTTAAGGGTCTGCCTTGATGTTGTAAGTGATGCCAATAATTTTTATTTCTTGCTTCAATCCTTATCATAAGATTTAAAAGCGAGAGAGGATTGCATGAAAAATTTGCTCTTAAAATACTACCCTGAGCACTCTCTACTCTCTAAGGATTATTTCTTCCTTCATTGTTTTAAACCTCTCTATTCTATTGGGATGATGCAAATAAATTTTGCCACTGTAGAGAAATTATTAGCATTAAAGGAAAATAGGCTCATATTAAAAATTACTGTTTCTTTAAGTTAATAATTTTGGTTAACGAAGTAATAGTTAACCAAATTTTCAGAGTATAGCATATCAAGCATTATTGAGAGAGTCTCCTAGGGGTATTCTTGCACAATTTTAGAAAGAATTTTATGTTTAGTCTTTCAAATCTTAGAGAGATTATGCAGAGACCGTAAACATCCTTGTCGATTATTTTGAAAAATGTAATAGTCTTTCAATTTTACAGTTCAAATTTAAGAAATAGGCTAAAATTTTAGGAATGATTATAGAGCTATCCAACCTTGTTTATTTTAAGCTGAGGGTCGATGGTTCTATAGGCGCTAAAGCTCATGACAAAGAGAATTTCAATAAATTTAGAGAAAATTTGTTCCAGAACAGTGCACTCCATTTTTTTAACAAAATTTACCTATCAACTACCAAAGTGAACTTTCCTGCAATTTCAGTCATGATTAGGTCTATGAAACAACAAAACAAAGCCATCAGATTTCTCCTAGCTCCAAAACCACCAATAAACCTATAAAGATGTTACTAAACCCCACTCACCCCCTACACCCCCAAATTACCCCAAAAACACCTCCATTCCTCTAAAATCCCTCCCCCTCCCCCAATGCTTGAACACACCCACCCAAATCCCTTCTTTAAACTTCCACAAAGAGTCTAATCAAGAAGGATTTATAAATTTGTTAAGCTAAACTCCATTTTTTCAATTACTTTCTAAGGGTTCAATATCTTTGACTGTAAAAGGGGTTTTGGGGTTTTGGGGTTTTGGGGTTTTGGGG